TTGTAAACAGCATGATAATATATTAAGTAATCCAAAGTATTCAGAATACGTTACTCTCATTGAGTAACGTAACGGAATACGTTACAGAATACATTTTGGAGCATGTAATCTGTATTCTGTAATGGAATACATTTTAAAAGTAACCTTCCCAACACTGCAACCAACATATGCCCAAAACAAAAACACTTTCATACAAAAATATCAAACATGTTTCTTTGAACAAAATGTTTAAAATGCAGTAATAACGTTTGGAGAATAGGTGCGCTGCATTTGGCAGTCTGCTAGTCTTCTTCTCCAGTCTTTAAACAACGTTTAGTTGTGCGTTCGGCCCCCCCAGTCACAAGAGCAGCACGTCCAGGGATTTTGCCCTGAACAGCAACCGCACACCCATCTTGAGTGAAAACAATACCTAATTTTAAGTGGTGCGAAACACAGTCCGGAGATCTTTGCTAATTTATAGCACGCAGCACACAATGGGCCTATGCCCAGATCAACAATCAGCACCGTTACAGTCACGTGAAACAGAAAGTTTTCACTGGACTTCATGCTGCCTGTGAAGACCCAAGTACACATTTAATGCTTCCAAAGCAATTAAGAGGATAATATAACGCAGTTTATTTAACTAACTAACAACAAGCGTGACCAGTTCTATAAAAGCAGATGTCTGATGGTCTGGTGCATTCAGGTGTGTGTTAACACATTACCGAATCTTCAGAGGAGTGGACACCCCAAAGTCAGACCACCAAATGCTCAGGGTAACACCAAAAAAACAGCTACGTGAGCTACATCTCAGAGTCTACACACTTCAGTTAGAATGTTAAATGTTAAAGTTCACGACAGTACAATTAAAAAAAGACAGAAAAAGTCGCTTGCTTGTGAGGAGCTACCAGGAGAACATCTCCTCTCTAAAAAGAACATGGCACCAATGCTTAGGTTTGCACAGTAACATCTGAACAAACCACAACACTTCTGAAGAATATCTTTTGGCAAAAACCAAACTCAGCATATCAGCACTTACAGCTCATATCAGCTGTGAAGCACAGAGGTGGAGGGGTGATGATTCATGCTTC